CTACGCCGTGAACTTTAATATTTTCACATACTAGTTGATCCTGATAAGCGCTGGTCATCACAGTTGTAAACACGACAGCTTTCTTCTTTCGTGAGGGGGTTTGGCGTCACGCCTTCTTTGTTTCCAGGCGGAACATTAAAGAACGTGACACACATGTCTCCCGGAAATCCTGTAGAATTCAACCAATCCTATGACGACTTCGAAACTCCTAAGACACTGAAAGTGTTTTTTGACCTTGAATGCATGTCAACCTTTTGTTGGGGACTCCCAAAACCAAAATATGAACCTTTCATTACCCATAATAGGGGCACTTTAACATATTGGATGTTTATTAGTACTTATAAAGCACATATTCTGCATGACCATATTCTACATCCCTAATCCTACCCAATACCTACTTAACAACTACCTTACTAACTATTAATAAGCAGTAATTAGGAGATTATTGAGGCAAAAGTCAGAGTTAATAGTTAGTTAATAGTGAGAACTGGACCTTAGAATATACTGTGACCAAAATGACTTACATTTATGTCTTTTGTTGGTGTAACCTGTTGTTTCAGTCATGTTAAATCAGTGGCTCTCAAATGCAAAATCAGGGCCTTCTAGGGGGCCTCAGAAAACGTCCAAGGGAAAAAGATGTGTCTGGTTACATAGGGTAGCCTAATTTTAAAAGTGGGATTTCTAGACCTTGAAAAACTAAGTAAATTTATAATGTTAATATTATAACTCCATGGGCATTTTTATAACAAATTAGTATTGTCTTAAACATTTTATCGGGTAAATTTTTTTAATAAATATTTTTTTTAAAATGATCCTTATCCAGTAAATCACAAACATCTGGAAAAGTCATGGGGCCTTCAAATATTGTTTTGAACAATGAAAGGCCTTGTAGTCAAAAAGGTTGAGAAATACTGCAATAAATGTTTTTAACTACAGTAAATCCAGGTAAAAACATTTTTTTTACAGGAAATTTATTTAGTTTAACAAAAGTTAAAACATTTTCTTGTTTTATTTTTTGTTTATTATTTTCCATGATTTTTGTATTTGATTTGATTGAGGTATTGAAAAAGGGCAGGGCTTCGCATAACGCATCTTCTCTTAAGTCCTCCACTGTCAGAAAGGATGATTCATCCAGTGCTCTCCTGATCAAAGCCATCATGATCTGCTGTGAGCCCCTGTGTCACACACTCCACCAACCAGCACACACTTAAATATAGCAGGAAGAAAGCAAAGACACTAGCTTAACAGGAACACATCCCTGATCAAACACTTAGCCGAGTAACTGCTCTCACGGCACCAGGGGAACACACCGACACCTGCTCCAAAGCCCAGAAACATTTCCAGCCAGACTTACATCTAAAATTCAAAACTGAGAGCAAGACTGATGGATCAGGAACTGCTGTATGTTTCATTTATTTTCTGATGAGAGTATATTTTTTAAGTTTGGCAACACAATAAGGTTTATATATTAACAGGTACAATAAATGAACGTTGTTTTGCTTAAATAATAATTCTGTCAGGACCACTATCATCAAAGATGATTGACAATTAGCATACAGTTTGGCTTGGCGGTATGGTTCTGCTCTGGGCAAGAACTCCCTGCGCATCCATGCAGCCTAGCATGGATGAGAGCAGGGAGAGCAGCGATAACACCCCTGATGCGAGCTTGACTAACGTGACCTGCCAGAACAAACGCTACGCTAGATTAATGTTAATTTTTAAATATATACTATTGTTCATTGTTAGTTCATAATCTAATTTTTCAGTTTATGGCTTTATAGTAATGTTTTTATGGCAATGTCACACAATATGAAGACGATGCAACAGTGTAAAACGCAGAAACTTGTTTTAAGAGCAAACTTGTTTTACAGCTTCTTTCCATCACACGTATCCAAGGAAATCCCCTGAAGGATGTTCTTATTTCAACTCGTGCTAACGGCTGTTGGCGCACACACACACACACACACACACACACACACACTCGTGCTCATGAGCTGGCTGCAGCTGCGGAGGATTGGGCCCTGCCAGATGAAGCATTTTCCCAGAAGAATATGGGTCTGGAGAAACCAGGTCAGGGCCAGTCCATTAGGCTGAGCAGGACTAGACCAGCAGGGCATCACTCTGAGCACAGCAGTCATTAATGGCTGCAGCTGAAACATGGGCGTTGCCAGACATTCTTCATTTATACAGATTTGGGGCCAGTTTTGTATATTTCCTGTAAATGTGTCTTTTCTGAGATACAACCAGCTGGTCTGAGATCAGTGTGTATGAGTTTGTATTGTATACATGAGCACTGCACTGCTGAATCAAGCATAATTCTTTGTTTTAACACAGGTCTCTCCAGAATTAGTTTTAACGTTTATAAAACAGGACACCCATCTCCAACCTTTCACATGCTTTCATACGTAATTTTTGCTTAATTTCAAACAGCTTTTATGTACAGATATTTACCCTTGACCCAGAACCAGACTTTCTGTCTTAGACTAATTAAGTCCAAAATAATATAATAAATATGAATCATGACAACTATGACGATCTACACAAACATTAAAATAATGATAAAACCTTGCAATATAATGGTGTTTAATAATGAATGAATATACTTTTTTAAATTATGACTGTCCCACAGTAGCAGAGTTACGTATTTCCACAACAATAAACAATTCTGCTCAAAAGTTAGTGTAATTGTTTACCAATGAGAAAATATTGTTGGTATAGAGCTTGAAATAAAATAGAACAAACTATTAAAAAAAAAGTGTTGTTAAAACTAGTGTTGATCACCATTAACTAGTGAACTGTTAAAAATCATTTTTCAATAATTGAAATAAAGCAAATAAAATAAAATACAAAATTGGATAAAATCAAAACAAAAAAAACTTTGTCAACTAACTGAAATTAATATAATAATATTAAGAAATATAAAAAACAAAACCGAAACAAATATTAAAATGAAAATATAGAAAATAAAGGCTTATTATTAATATCATTATTGTTGTTATTATTATTATTATTATTATTATACTATATAGATACTATTAAAATAACACAGAATATTATTCTGAACAGAATATTTGGATCGTGTATCATGTCCAATCAAACTGTAATAATGTCAACTTAGGCAAAAGGTATTAAAATATTATTCATGGATTTGGGTCTTAAAGACAGAAGAAGCCATATATAAAACATTTTATAATTAAAAATATTAAAATGTAATTTCCTTCTACCAGAGAATTTGAGATATGATGGAAATAATTCAGTGCAATTTTGTCTTTCGATGTATATACTTTCTGCAAAAAATAAAAAAATAAAAATCAACAAAAGTAAATAAACTTCAAACAGTGTGGGGAATGATCATGAGAGAATTATCCTGTGATGTACAGTATGTCCATATTATTAGTGTACTAAATGAATAAACTAGCGAGAAAAGTCTGAAAAGTGTTTTTAAACAGTGTATTTTCTGAAAGTCCAAAAGTGGCCAAAAGTGTTCATAGTTGAAGAAGCATCATCAATGTTGAATAAAAACCAAAATGCAGACAAACGGCTGATGATGTTTGTGGAAGCTCATCTTTTTCCTCTGAGTAATATCTAGAATAACACTTTCAAACATGTTAAGTCTCATTTTTTAATTGATCATCCAGACTAATATGATCTGACAGGAGAACTTCTGTACTGTACACTTTCTACAGAAACAATAACGGGAACGACAGTGTTGTAGCTGTTCGTCTAGCAACCTCCCAAACAATCCCACGGCTGTTTGCACTCCTTTCGGAAACTCTACATCAGAAAAAACTACATCAGACCTGTCGAATATTTGTGAGGTCATTAGCTCAACCAAAACACCACACACTAATAAAACTGGGGGATTAAGAAAGCGCCACACATGTGTAACACCAGAAAGTTCTTGAGAGGTTCCCCAGACAAGGCTAAGAATAGTCCAGACAAGACTCCAAACCAAACAAACCATTAGACATTTCTATCTCACTCAAGGGACGCATTGGGTTTAAACACCTGCAAGGTGTTGAAAGTTAAATATTTTAGTTGCGTGCCTCATAATGCAAGATATAACACTATTCCACTAAAAATACCCGGCCATTCCCAAAATGTTCCTTATTTATTCATTAAATTACCAAACCGCTCACAGGGTAGTACATAAAGTTTACATACAATATACAAGCAAGAGGTTGAGTGAGTAGCATTTGTTAATGTTCTTTCAGAGCAGATAGTCTGGAAGATCCAGCTGCTAATGAATGATGAATCTACTGTGTGTAGATCACACGTGATCTCCATGACCACATTTGTTTGTCACATTTACAGTCTTGTCGTGTCTTTCACCTGTGGCCATTTGTCTCTCAGCTGCTCCATGTTCTTCTTGTGTTCTTTTGGCACCATGGTGGACTTAACTGGAATGAACCCAGAGCTGCTAATGCCCATATGAACAGATTCAAACCTCAGCGGTCCCAGTGAACAGGAAATGGTTCACTTAGTGCAACTCAAATTACAAGTGATGAATCAGCTGGATTTGGATTCAGAATGCAAACAGGGAGCAGCTGGGAGCATATGTACTGTATGCACACACACACACACCTTCTATCATCAATATTTAGGGCCCTATTTTAACGATCTAAGTGCATGGTCTAAAGCGCACAGCGCAGGTGCACTCAGGGCGTGTCCGAATCCACTTTTGCTAGTTTAACAACGGCAAAATGGTCGGCGCGCCCAGGTGCATGGTCTAAACGGGTTGTCCCTGTTCTCTTAATGAGTAATGGGTGTTTTTTGGGCGTAACGTGCAATAAACCAATCAGAGTCTCATCTCCCATCCTCTTTAAAAGCCAGTTGCGCTCGCGCCATGGCTGGTACGCTATTTACATGGCGGAATGTCATTTTTCATTTTTAAAAATGTTTGTGTGCTGCTGCGCGTCCCTGTGTGTGTAATAAGCAAAGTGTACGCGTGTTGTGCAGCCGCCTATAGGTGCATATTACTAACGCGCTCTTTAAATAACAAAGAAAAAATATTGCGCCAGACTTTAGACCAGGTTTGAGTTGGTCTATGGCGCAGTCTATTTTCAGTTCCTCAAAATAGCAAAGCGCCAACAATGCGCCTGAACACACCTCTTTTTAGACCAGCACGCCCATGGGCGCGCAAATGCATTTGCTATTTAAACACGCGGCGCAGGACGGGAAAATGAGAACTGCTTCGGGCTGAACTAGCAAAAACACTTGCGCCGCATTGCGCCGGGTGTATGATAGGGCCCTTAATGTAATACTGGCTCATGGACTGTGATTATTCAACAGATTGATTTTTAGTTGAGTTACAGTATACATATGAATGTAAAGTAGCAGACAGAATGATTCAGAATAGCTAATTAATAGCTAATCTGAATAGCTAATTATCTGCTTTATAGTAAGATCAAAGAAGGGGCTTGGCTCTATTACATATAAGAGTGTCACAATAATAAAAAAAGAGTTCAAAACACATGTGATGTTCTTAGAAATGTATGTGATTAAAAAAACGATACCATTTTCAGGAAATTAATTGTATTGATTCTTAAATTGTCACACATCATTCTTTAAAAAAAAACGTTTGTTTGTTCATTTGTTTATTTATCGTACATTATTGTTTCATAAATATCATAACGTTTTTGGGAGTCAGACCACAGACATACAACCTGAACTAACCATGTCTTGTCATAAAAAGGTCAATTATCTGATATTTTTAGACACTTACTTACCTTGACACACAGTCATGAGGGCCCACAGGGGTCTTCTCGATGATGTTTTTATGCTTTTTATATTTTTTTTAATTATATATTTTATATCTACTTATTTTTAATTCAGAAATTAAAAACATATTCATCGGAGGTGTATTCAAATCATTGTATTGGGAATGTATAATTGAATAGAATGTATATCATGCCACCAAAACCCAACACACATCCAAGTTTCAAGATAAACTAACGCTTCACTATCCATTATGACAGCAGATTCAGAAATGTCAGTCCACACCTGAAAATGCTAATGTTTTTATTATTACACCTGGTATGAAGGCCTGACAAGGCTTGGCATTGTGACTGGTTTGTTATAAAATCTCCTGCAGGAATTATGCATTACTTCCTATATTTAATATTTCAGTCTTTGGCAGGTCTGACTGAGCCATATAACCAGTCTTACCTGCTTTATGCATGTGATTTTACCTGCAAAGCGTATTCTTAAGGATCCCTGGGGCATGCCCCCTCTGCGCACACACACACACACACACACACACACACACACCTGACCTTCATTATCTGTTCTCACTCCTCCTGCACCCCCCTCTCTTCCATTCTCTTCATTAAAGTGCAAATCCACTATTGCCAGTATGAATATAGCTCAGACAACATTCAAACTGCTGGGGCTCTGCAGAATTCAATACATTTTCTCAATGCTCTATTCAATCTAGCCAGGATCCTGTGTATGAATGTGCTTTAGAGAAATATTAGCGTTGAACTAAGTGATAAAGCTTATTCACCACACATCCTAATTTCAGTTTCTCAAAACAATTTGTACAAATAGCACCACACAATGGATTACTTGCAATAGCATGTAACTTGCTCATAATCCTCAGATCATCTCTCAAAAGTAAGTATTTATGTCATGAACATATCAGTGCCATCAGAATGACAAGTCCTTGTGTCATTGATCACAAACAAGAAATTCAAAATGC